AAATCCATCACAGCACCATATTGTGTACCCTCTGGGCAATCATTTCAACCCAACTGCTTTTTTGTTTTCTATTTACTTACCTGGGCCAAAAAGTTAGACAGCACTGTTCCCCGGCAGCCTGTGTGACCGGAGGGGAGTGATGAGCAAGTAAGAAACCTATTCCCGTATCCCCTGCACGCCAGTGTGGTCATACAAAATATACCTAGTCTGATGGGAGGGAAGAGGGTGTCTCATAGACACCCAACTTCATGCATCATAACACATATCTTTACTAGCCAATCACAGATCTAGGGAACTTAACATCACAAAGCAAGGATATGATGTAATAATAATACCCAAGGTTGGCTGTGTATCTGTACAGTAGTATATAACCTCTAGAGGCAGCTGTGGTCTAAGAAAGAGTACCAGATTTTTAGTCAGATCTGAGTTTAAATCTTGGCTCTGCTACTTACCAATGGTATAACCTCAGACAAATCACCTAACCTTGTGAGGTGCCCTATTTCCTCATTTATAAAATGGGGATAAAAATATCTGTAATGCCTGCTTCAAGAGCTGTTATGATCATATGTCAACAAGTCAACAAAGATTTAAGTGTCTACTATATGTCAAGCACTATATTCATAAGACAATTAATGTAAAGCAGTTCACAAACACGCCAGTTACAGGAGTAACTGTATCCTCTCTAGTTACTGATCGGATTTCAATACATGTTCTTGAGATGAAAGGAAATCAATTTGTAAATGTCCAAGGGACCTGATTTACTGTTTCCCTTCCACTAGCCTCTTACCAAAAAAAAAAAAGTATATGTTATATAATGACCTCCTATGTTCTTTAAATAATGGGTACTATGAATATCCTTTACGCAGCTGTAGCTTTGTACAAAGCCCAATCATACTATGCACTATATTTTTAGAACAAGACTTTCCTCAATATTGGCCCATTGGGAATGAGTCCAAATTCTCTGAATAAGGTAGCTGGGATGGCATTGATTTACTGGTGTTAAATATAGTTTTGATCTGCAGATAGGTTGCAAATGATTAATGAGCTACAGCAGCTGCTGGTTGATAGAAAAACTCAATAAGGAATAGGTGATTCTGCCAATACTGATATTGTTATAAGCAGACAAAACACCCTACATCAGTCAACAAGGGATATAAATGTCAGCAAACTCTTTACTTCTCTGTGCTACCAAGGGGTGCCTATAAATACCATAGACAAAAGAGAAGAAAAAAGGGAGCAGGGAAAGAAAAAAAAGATGAAGTGTAGAGCCATTAAGTATTTATATGAATGTCTTTTTTATTTTTCTTTATCAAAATGTACTCCACCCCTAAGAACTGAGTTTGATCCAGATGCAACCGATCAAGATGGAAGTGACTAGGTTTTTCAAAACTTCTATCCTACAGCAATATATACCACATGTGTATACATAATTATATATGTACACATACATATGTGTATACATATATATCATCCCTTGACTTTCATGGGTTTCACATTAGAGGTTTTGATTATTCGGTTGGCTACTGATAATCAAATGGGAATTTTTGGAGATTTGCACCTACTGCAGAAAATCAAAGGCAACGCGCATATATATAGAAAACTAAAAAAAAATTAGCAAATCATAAATGCATAAATATTGTATATTATTAATCTATTTTATCATTTACTACCATAAGCATACATACATATACTTATATAAACAGTTGAATTTTCTTAAAAGTTTCAGTACAATAAAGAACTATGGGCTATGCACTCCCTTTGGGAATGCCTCCTCTTTGTCCCTCTACCATTCAGACTCAGTCATGTGATTTTCTCCTACAGTGATCCTTGTATCTTGCACTTTTCGTGGAAGGAAATCATGAAGCAATTGCCACAGCAACACTGTGGCTGTGAAGACTCTGCACAGTGTACAAGACACTAATCTCTGTCCAGCAGAAACTACAACTTTTTTATGGGTGCAGTGTGCTGTTTTACTTGTTTTTTTGTGTTAAGTAAATATGATCAGAATTATTAAAAATAAAGATTTGGGGTAGAGCCTAGAGTTATTCATGGTTTTCCACATTTATGAGGGTCCTGCACCCTTAACCCCCTTGAATGTCGAGGGATAACTGTATATGTGTAGGAAGCAATGGAAACAACGTGAAGGCCACAACATTAAAAAGGCAAACTGACTAGTTATAATGACCAATCTTAGACATCCAAAAGATCACAGTGATCATCTTCTCAATATAGGAATCTAAGGATGCAGAATGTGGTATTCACAGGCATATGTGATCTCTGTGTCAGTTACTTTTCCTTACATTTTTTTTTTGGAATTATGAGGGAGGGTTCAGTAAAAGGGAAATGATTACGGTGTGAAAACAAAAGGCAACAGTAAAAAACTTTTAAAGGAAGGTTAAAACTTTTTTAAAGTCAGCTTTGAGCTGACTTGGTCCTTGTGAACTTCAACTTCAACCAGGTAATGATGTTGAGAACATTCATAACTTTAATTCCAAACATTTTACAGAGGCACATCCAAATGGCACAATCAATTTTTAAAGAACGGGCAGCCAGTTACTAGCAGTCAACCTTTCTCTGCTAGAAGAAATACAATGCCGGCTTAAAAATCTTAAACCAACAGTGATACTACTCCCAGAAAATAAATGCTAGAATGCTAAGCTGGCATCGTAAATGAACAGTGAGTCTAAAGTGAAATCAAAGTAAACTACAGTTCCTGTAAGGTATTATAGCATGCATAGACAAAGAACTTTGATGTTCAGCCACAGTTGAATGTTAAGAGTGTGTTTCTGTGTTTAGTGTACATTCCCATGATAGTCACTAAGGAAGTGAGTATTTCTTTTGTTTCATGACCATTAAAATACAGAGTTTATCTAGGGTACTGAGTGCTTCCCACAAACCTGTGTGGCTTAGGATTCAATGCAGTTCCTAGCAGTTCAAGAAACAAAAGCCTTATTCAGTGACATTCTTTGACTGGTCCCTTCTATCAGGTAGTAATGTTCAGGTAGGTGATCACGAGGAAAGTCAGTAGCATTCAGGTTTGGCTTAATGGAGCTTTTCAGCAAACAGGTGACTGATCTTGAGGTGACTTTTCTCTTCCCAAGATGTGAATTCTTCTGGAGGCAAGAAAGGTTTTCCTTTCCTTCCCCCATTACTCCGCATGGTACATAAGGAGAAAGAGGCATATATATTCCATTCATAAAATAATTCAGCACAATGGTCTCTACTTTAGCCAAACACCATTTCAACTTGCCCACATATGTCCCAAACCCACAATAATTTACATAGAAACAGTACACAGAACTGTCTGTTCTGCCTTTACAGCAGCATGGTCCTCACCTGCAATATTAATACTGTTAAGGACTACTCCAAAGGTCATAGTAGACACTGTCATGCAGATAGTTTAACTAAAATACAAATAGAAAAATTTTCACATAACAATATACTGGAGATTACCAGGAATGGATCAAAACAAAAACTAACTATTCCCTTGGGAAAAGTCAAATGCAATTGTGTTACTCTATTAAGAAATATAACACTCTCATCAGTGCTATGGGAACATATATGCCCTCCAGTACATAACAGCCATTAACATTGCTTTTACTCAACAGCTTCACAAATATCTTATCTCTGACTCCATCAAATAAATGTTTATGTTATTCATAAGCATTCAGAGCAGGGCCTTTCATGTTAATTTGATTTCTAGGAGAAATCAGAAAAAAAAAGAGAGCTTTACTTTCAAGATAGAGAGGAAGCTCAGCGTTCCCCAGGCCTCCTTGAGTGCACACAAATGTTATAGTGCAGATCTTTTTGAAAGAATTGTCAAGGGCTTTCAAAGAACATCCCAGAACACCAAATGGGATCCTGAGGTTATGCCCTCCAAAGTAAGCTGCTCGACTCTTCAGAGCCCATCTCAGCAGTATCTGAAACAGTTTCCTCCCACACTTCTTGTGGGTATTTTCCAGTTCCTCAGAGACCACAGCCTTATGACCCAGACCTATCCTTTGCTGAATTCAGGACTCATACACCTGGATTCCTGGAACATAGAAAAAGGGAACTTTCACTTTGGAAGAGCTAGCCATGGGCATCTTTCTTTCCATTTCTAAAAATAGGTGATCATCAAATGGGAATCTCAGTTCTAGTTCTAAGAAAGAACCTAGCGGTCTTACTGAGCATCTTAACAGGAAGAAAAGGAAGTGCCCTTTGATCTGTCAGAAGAGTGCTTTCTGGAAGAGAGCTGATTGCGTGCGATCTCTTCTTTGGTTTACGAGATTCTTGGGGAGAGGGGCCCTGTCGATTAAAGGCAAGCTGAGAAATGACGCTGAAGGGACAGCCGTTACAAATGGCATACAGAACACAGGGAGACCAAGATTTCAAGGGAAGACTCTGCCACTCGTTCAATTCAGTATTCATCACCTCAGCTTACACTCCATTTTCTTTCTACCTCTCTGTTCTCAAATATAGCTCTGCTAACTGGCAACCTTTCCACTTCAATCTTAACTCTCATACCCCCAAACAAGGTTGAGAAATTCAACTTGAATGTCATGTCATATAAAGTGAAAAATCTAAGAAGAGGGAATTTTCACCATATACTTGTCTGTACTGAAATAGTCAGAAAAGACCTCTGAAACCATTTAATCCAACCCCTTCATTTTAGAGATGAAGTACCTGAGGTCCAGAGATGTCCTATTCTTTAGAAGCAACATAAGTCAACTCTTAATTAATTAGGAGCCAATCTGTGACCTGTAACTGTCCAGGACCTAAAGTATTTCCATCTTTGGTCTCTGGCCTATTGCTGAGTTTTTGGCAATGTCACAGTACACTGAAACCTAAACCGAAGGAGAGTAGAATAGAATTCAAATCAGGTGAAACTCAAATCAGGTAGTGTTGCTAATGTCAGCAACTCTATTTATTTATTTGTTTGTGTATTTTTGTTCTAGGCAGTTGGGGTTAAGTGATTTGCCCAGGGTCACACAGCTAGTAAGTGTCAAGTGTTTGCTCTGAGGCCATATTTGAACTCAGGTCCTCCTGACTTCAGGGCTGGTACTCTATTCACTGCGCCACCTAGCTGCCCCCTAATGTCAGCAACTCTAACAAGAGAATGGGGGTGTGAAAACTACTAGCTACAATAAGAGTTTAGAATTATCTGTGTTATCATTAACAATAATAATAATAAGACATTCGTGTTTTACAATTTACAAAGTGCATTACATATATTATCTCATTTTATTATGTCTTTAATTATGTCTTTCTCATGGCCATAGAATAATGAAGAATTGACTTTAACATGTTCTGCCTAGTGAGATGGGAGTGAAATGATATCTCTAACTGATAGAAAGGTACTATTTGCTGTATGGGCTATAGATAACTAAAGCTATAAAGCTTGTGTGTGTCACGGAACTGAATGGTGACTCTTTATTTCTGGATGATACACTTATCCACCGATAAGAGAATACGTTTTGGTTCTACTTCTGGAACAAAGTCCCCAGAGGGTAGTCAGGAATGGTGTGGGACAGTGTCAGATCAAATATTTATGCCCAAGAAATCAATTTAGTTGAACCATCACTGGCCTTTGGAGTCAGACTACAGCAAGGATTATGAGAAGACTGGAAACTATCTCCATGGCTCAATTGTTTTCAGCTCTGTCCACTTGCGTTCCAGCAAGCCATAAAAATGGAGTTGACTTTCTAATTTTCTTTTATAAAATGGAATTAGTAACATAAATAGGAACAACTAAGAAAAACTCATGCCCTTGTGTAATCCGCCTATGATTCCGTCAACCACCTTTATGGAGGCCAATAAGATTAGACAGTTTTTCACAGTTTTCAAGTTTCAGTGACTCTGCCTTTTGTTTCAAGCGTTCATCTCGGTACAGTCTGGCCAAGTTTGTCAAGTCTGACTCTGAAAAGTGAAAGAGAGAACCAGTTGAAAAGCAGATAGTCAAGGCACTGGAACGCATTTTAGTTTTCACTGAATTAAGACCAATTTGTATTTTAATGAACTGTTTCTTTCCTTAAGTTCTGCTTGTGGTTTTGGGTCCTGGGTCAGAGAGCAATGGGCTTAGTTCTCATCAATCTAAGATTTGACACTGGACTTACGGAACTTACACGTGTGCAACAAGAGAACATATTTAAAACCATGTCCTCCAGTGTTACTCAGATAACAGTCTGGAAGGGAACAACAGCTCACTCTCCCTGTCCTGTTGTCTGATAGCAAGACAGCTGCTTCATTCCTTCCCCTATTCTTTTTTTGGATCTCAACTTACGCATACTAATTGATGCAGAGCCATGATCAAAGACACAAGAAGGTCCAGGGGCGGCCAGAGACATTGTTCACTTCTCTCTACTTGTAGGGCACACAACTCATAAATCAAAAACTAGACTAATTCACACACTGTGACTTTTAGCTGCTTGGTTAAATGAGTCTGGTTTTCTGTCAATGTTAGTGAAGACTGCTCTGCTGAAAACTAGATTACATTCTTAGCCGTTTTCCATGATTTGATGTTTGGATTATATCCAATTTTCATAATTTCTTAATATTTATAAGACATGTTTTTAGGATTGAATTCCTGAAGAGAATCTCTGAGAAAGGGGTCAAACAGCCCGTTTGCTCACGCCGGATGGATAGCTTCCAAAATAAAGCAGCTATGCTATGTTTAAAGCATCACCGTATGAAAATCCTATCTTAATCATTTTGAAATAAATCTGTTCCCTTCCAGTCTTCCTACCAAAAGACTGGTTTCTCTCTGTGAAAAACAGGCACCAGTCTAATTAATCAACAAACTGTTAGAAACAGGAATTAATACATAGGGGTTAAATAGTCACGGCGAGCATTGGGCATTGACTTTTAAACAAGTTTTCATAAACATAGAATGCTGTGTAACACAATGGCTCTGCTGACACCCCGGGAGGCCCAGGACAACCCAAAGCACTGATTACATGTAGGAGTTGAGGGTGACAGGCAGACAATGCATGGAAAGCTTCCTTTCATGACAACTGGCTCAGATCATACGATCCAGAAGGTCTTATATGAGTCAGGCTCAGGGAGTTGCTTGACATGCAATTGTATCTCCTGGGTTCAAAAACAATGTGTTCCAGAAGCCATTCTGTTTGGTCGGCATGAGTGGCCATCAGACTAAGTTTGTCTTGGCACTATAACTCTTGCAGGTGACAGATCTTCAAGGACAATTATTTGGCTCTATGAATTGAAATACCTTCGCCAAGGTTCTCTCTATAGTCAAATGTTGACTCCATTCTTTTGATATATTCAGCAATGTGTGCAAAGTACATTCAGAATGCCATTGCTGAACCCACCTAGACCTTTGGTTCCTTTGGGTTGGAGGTATATTTGATGCTAGTCTTGGACAATCAGAAGAAACACAAAATTCTCTGAACTGAAGCAGACTCTTTTGTTTCTTTTTAATCTTCATTCAATTTCCTTGAGTTTCTATTTACCTGGCTTGACTTGATTTATTGTTCTGGAGCAAATCAATGGGCTGCTCCTAACAATCTAGGATCCAAAGTTTCATATGAGACCCAATTCCCAATGCTCCTGCTCAATTATAATACTTACAGAGAAACTTCTCCCCAAACTATTCTTAGCCCATCAGTGAGCAAAAGACTGACAAAATGAACATGCTAAATTTAATCTTTTAAGCAACTCCTTTTAAAATAATGAAAAAGGGCAGGTCTAATATGATATCTTTTAAATGCTGGCATTAAAATCTTCTTCCAAATTCTCCTTTTATCCTGTTCCTCCTGCCCTGACACAAACATTTGGGTAACCAATAGAAGGGATATTTGATAAACTTTAAAGGCAAATTGACTTGGGCTCTGGTTAACAGACAAAAGAAGTAAGTCATTGCCTCAACTCCCAAGAATGTTCTGCTTTCAGCTGTCAGATCTAGGCTGGCAAATTTGGAGCACCCCGGTTAGTCTCAGCTGTCATGGTGACACATGTGATGAGGTCACGCTGTCCGAGACCCAGATCCAGACCACAGTGAAAACCAAATCTGTACACTCAATTAAGAAATAAATGGAGAGGGCTAGACCTATATAGTCTAGGGCTCCAGGTTTTCAGCTCTGTTTAGGAGGAAAAGTAAACAAGGCCATGTTTCCTGCACAATCATTCAGTTCTGTTGCTTTTACTTTTTTTTTTTTTAAAGTATTCATTCAGGTACAGATATAAAAAATAAAGAATAAAATTCACCAAGGGGCTAAACAGCCATAGTAAGTGATTACTCAGGAGTCCAAAGATAAGCCACACTTAAGTTAAATATTTTAAGGAATAGTAGAGAAAATGACCAAAAGGTTACAAAAGACAGTAGCTAACTTTGCCAAAAAGTTTCCACGGAACATTTTGCCAACAGAAAACTTTGTTCTGAAGTTGCTTTATTTTTATAACCTCTATGATGCTAATTTTAACCACCTCAGCTGTACTTGGCAGCAGAACAGTTGCTGATCATTTGTAAATAGCTCTGCATTTCCTACAGAGATCCTAGGCAGTGACCATTCCCAAATATTAGAAATAGATTTTTAAAGGTGTGCAGACTAACCAGAACTCACTGTAAATCATAATCAAACACACTTATCTCCTGAATTTTGTCTGCAGCTGGTGAGGGGCACAGCCCTCACATGTGACTTCACCAGGCTCAAACCCAAGATCTAGCAGGGGTGGCATTGTAAGGATTTCTTTTATCTACCGACAAGAACATTAAATGATTTCTTTTTTTGGCAACAGGATAAAAGGAAGGGTTAAGAGAAGAAACAGAGTTTTGTTCTCTTCTTGCAGAAGGAATACAATGAATTTGAAAGGTAGGGTGGGAGAGTGTAAAGTGCATTGGGTTCAAGTGGGTTCAAGGCCCAGGTTCAAGGTCTGGCTTTATGACAATAAATGAGTCATGAATATAGGCAAATTCATTTTCCCTCTCTGAGCCCTAGTTTCCTCACCTGTAAAATAGAGATGATAATGATACTTGCACTTTCTACTTCACAGAAATGTTATAGGAAAAGTATTTTGTAAACTTTAAAGTTAATGTCATAACTTAGAATTATCCCAAGATGCAAAGTAGTAAACATATTTATGACATGTTAATTTCCATTTTGTTTAAATGAATCAATATCCTTTGTCCCTCAGGCCTAAGGGCCTTATATTCTCTTCTTCTCAATTCCTTTTCTTCCTTCTAAACTTACAAATTCAGTTCTAAGAACTGAAGATATGACTTCTGCCTGTAGTTTAACACCACTACCACCACGTCAACATCTGATCCACCATTATGCTGGTTTGTTTTGTTAGGTTATCTTTGGTTATGATAAGGGAGGATGTTATTGGAAACTGGCTACAACACAAAAAACAAAAAGCATCAATAAAACATTTTTCAAATTTATAAAACCTAAGCTTCTTAAGAAATGAGTGCTAAGAACAAATCAAAACATCAGATAAACTTAGGGCTAGGTAAGGCAGAGTTTATCTAGTTCAAATCTTAAAGGATTAAGGGAGGGGAGAGAGAAAGGTAGGTGAAGTGGCATCTGTGAGGTATACACAACTATACTGCTGTTACTACTATCTGACCTATAAATCAAATGACTTATCACAACCCTCGTTCAAACAGGGGAAAAGGGGCAAGGATGGGTGAAAAAAGACTACGACTAATAAGCCTATTGTTTTAAGCTGGAGTACATTATGCCACACTAAGGAAACGTTTGTCAAGATGACAACAAAACCAAGTGCCCTTCCCCTTTCCATTGCCTGCCCCAACTTACTTTGTTGTTTTTCCTTCCAACAACTTGACTGAATATAATCTATATAATCCTTTTCTACAGTCTTCTCCAAATCACGCAGTGATGGCCCTTTGTAGTTTTTTTCAAAGTGTTTATCCACGAAATAAGGCACCTGAAGATTCTCTGTTTCTCTGGAAATGGTGTGCCCAATGGACCTGTGAGAAAAGCAGACATGACCAAAGGTTAGCAATGTCATTAATAATATTTGCTGTGTATATGCCTCTAGGACCATTTAACAGACACACACAGAAGTCTGGCTCCTTACCAAGGTTCCCACAACAATTTATGTCAGTGACATTTAACATTTTATTTACAGAACAGTTACTGCCTACAACATCACCAGCATCAATGCCTAAGATGCATGCCACTATAGGATTTGTACTCTTTCAATTTCCTAAAGGAATTGGGACCATACTGGTCACCACAATAAAAGCAAAACTGATAGGAAACGTGTATACTGTTATTTGTCAGTAATTTTTCTAAAAGTAGATCCTCTTTAAGGTTTACTGTGATAAGAGTAAAATGTCATTTAGATAAAACATTTTAATTACAAATAATCAGACAGGTAGCACTGACCCAGCATTAATATCAAAGAGACTAAAAACTGTACCTGAAAGCTGGGAGACACACCTGAGGAGAACTACAAGAAGACATGGGCTAATAGTTCACCAAGGCCATTCTGGTACAAGTTCCTAAGGACCCAAACTATACATCTGATGCTTAGAAAGTTGAGTATCTCAGGGCCAAAACCAAAAAATAACCCTGAGGAAGTAAAGGAATTCTAGTATAGAAATCTAAGCCCCCAAATTCAGAAGCACCAGCCTAAGTTAATATGAATACCTTGGAGGCTGCTAAAGCAAATTTCTAGGACAGTAAGTCACATTTCAAGTTATAGTAATATGACAAGTTCGCAAGCCCTAAACTGATTTTGTTCACTGGGGCTTTGCTTGAAGTTTATCTTTTAAGTTAATGTTTCACAGAATGGCAGCAGGACTCTAGACTGGTGTCCCTAGAGGCTGCCTAAGATCCCTTTTTTGGGGCTATCTCTCCCAGTGGAAGAGAGGGAAGACAACATGAAAAAGGAAAAAGCATTGGATGGTAGGGAAGCAGGGGACTTGGGTTCTAGTCTGTGCTCTTCCACTGAGTAAGCTTGGGCAATAAACTATATACTTCACGGGATCATACACTTAGGGCTGGAAGGGACCTCAGAGCCCATCTAGTACAACTCCCTCATTTTAAAGATGAGGAAACTGAGGCCTAGAGAGGTTAGGTGACTCGCTTAAGGTCACGCATGTGGTAAGTGATTGAGGCAGGATTTGAATTACTCAATCACTGGAAGGATAGGAGATGCTCAAGAATGAAATTCTCAAGACACAAGAGAAAACAATTCCGGTGGGAAGGAAACATGGGATTCACCCAACAAGACTAATACAGATACACAGGGAACTCACCAACTAAATGCAAATTAAAAGATAAATGTACAGAATATGGAAATAAGGCCAGAGAAAAAAGCATAAATTATGGCATAAATTTTCCCTTAAAAACTGTCAGGAGAATCAAAACTCCAAATGAGCTGAGGTTGGCAAGGGAAGATAAGGACAACACAAAAAATGATCAAAGAAAGGAAAGACCTTTGCTTGGGGTACAGGGTATATAGGTATAGCTGCTCCTTTCTTATTTGTTTCCTTTTCATTGGCCAAGGGGAGTGACCTCTGCAATAGAAACAAAAGAACCAATGCCCAAGATAAGTACGGAGATAGTAATGAAACATCTGGCTGCCCTTGAGGAATTCAAGTCTCTGGACTGGGGGCAGTTAGGTGGCATAGTGGATAGAGCTCTGGCCTTGAAGTCAGGAGGATCTGAGTTCAAATCTGGTCTCAGACACACAAGACACAACACATACTAGCTGTGTGACCCTGGGCAAGTCATTTAACCCCAATTGCCTAGCAAAACGCAAAAACAAACAAAAAAACCCAAAAAACAAAAAAAACAAAAACAATCACGTCTCTGGACTGAGATGAACTACATCCTTGAGCATTGAAAGACCTGGCAACGTGATTGCTAAGACACTGTCAGTAATAGTCAAGAGGGCATGGGAAAGAGGTACTACAAGAATGAAGAAGAGAAAATGTTGATCCAATTTCCAAAAAAAAAATAAAAAAGGAAAAGTATAGAGTCTGCAAATTATAGGCCAAGTGAACTTGACTTCAATTCCTACAAAATTCTAGAATGGATTGTTAAAGAGACTGTTGGTCTAGAAAGGGAAGTGATTATTACAAAAAGTCACAACAGCTTCATCAAGAACAGGTCATGACAGACTAACCTCAATTCCATTTTTGACAAGATTATTCAACTATTCAATGAGAAGGACGTAGATACTTTACCTAGGTTTTAGCAAAATTTCTGATAAAATATCTCATGCTATTTTTACAGAGATGAAATAATATGGACTAGAAAATAATACTATTAGATTCAAAATTGGCTGAAAGCCCAGGCTAAAAAAAACCCTAGCTATTAAATGTCAATGTCAAGGTGGCAGAAGGCCTCTAGTCTCTTATCTTAAGGATATCTGTGATTAGTGTTCTATTTAACATTTTTTATCACTGTCTTAGATAAAGGCATAGATGGGCATACTCATTACATTTATAGGTAAATAGCTGGGAAGTGTAGTTGATGACAGATTTAGTAGGGGTCTACCTTTTTTTGTCATGTACCTTTTTGGCATTCTGATAAAATCTACTAACTTCTTATCAGAATATTTTAAGTGCAGAAAACACATAATTACTAATGAAACCTATTATACTGAAATACAGTTATCAATTTTTTTAAAAAACAAGTTCCTGGACACCAGGTTAAGAACACTTGCTCTAAAAGGATCTTGACAGGCTACAGCATTGGGTTGAATCTAATATGAAGAAATTCAATACTAATAAATTTAAGGTCTTCTACTTGGGTATAAAAAAATCAACTTCACAAGCATAAGATGGGGAAAGACATAGTTAATAATGGTTCTGAAAATAAATCTGGGAATTTTACAGTACTATAGCCAAAAGAGCCAATGTCATCTTGGGTTGCACAGTCCCAGAAATAAGATGACAGAAAGTCCCACTGTGCTGTGCTCTCTTCAGACCTCATCTGTCCAGCTTTGAGCAACACAATCTAACAAGGACACTGAGAAGCTTGGAGGGCAAGAGTATTGAGTACATGTCAAATGAGGACTGCCTGAAGGAACAGATCATGTTTAGCCTACAGGAGAAGGCTCAGGGGGCATAAAATAGGTGTCTTCAAGCATCTGGGGAATTGTTATGTGGAGCAAAGGCAGAATCAAAAGCAATGGGTGGAACTCACAAAGATGAACATTTAGACTATTATATATCAGGAAAAACTTCCTAACCATTAGAGCTGTTCCAAAGTAGAAATGGGGTACCTCCAGAGGCAGTAGGTCTTACCTCCCTGGAGATCTTCAGGCAAATGCTAGATTACCATTTAGTAAAGTATGCTATATAGTGTGTATGGGTTAGATTAGCCAGTCCAAGGACCTTTCCAACCCTCACATTCTGTGATTCTGAGAGCCCAGTTTCTCAAACTCCAAATCCAGTGTTTTATCCCTGTATCATGCTGCTGCCTCTCTGCCTTCAGATCTCTAGGCCTCGGTTTCCTCAACTTTAAAATGAGAAGAATGGACAAGATAACCTCTCACACATTCTATGACCATTCCTCAGTTTGCTGAGCAATTAAAGCAAGTTGCTTTAGAAACCAGTCACTGCCATTCTTTGTTTTGCCCAGAGGGTGTCACTGTAGAACAAAATAATTCCCTTAAAAATTAGATTACTTCTATACATTCTATCTCCAGTATGGGATTTCACTGCAAAGCTTCCCCTTTAAACACCAAGTTTTGTTTTCTGAAACAAATACTGAAATTAAATGAGTAACTTATTGTCTTCTACTTACCCACATCCCCAAAGTCTATCATTAACAAAAAATGAAAATATTTGACTTACGATTTATAGAATAAACTGTATGGAGGATTTGTGGCCATCAGCTGAGTAATAACAGATATAACCACAATCACGAGAACTGGAAGCAACTGAAGAAATGCAGAATACATATTCTAAAAGAGAAAGATATTTGAAGTAACCATTACCTTTACAAAAACAAAAAATACTTAATTGAAAAAACCTGTGGTATCTTGTTATAGGGCACTCCTCCTAGATGAGGAGTTTACCAATAAAGGTTGGCATCCTATACTCTCAGAGTTGCCTAAAGCACTGAGAGATCAAGTGACTTGCCCAGGGTAATATAGCAAGTATATGTGTTAGAGGTATGATTTTACCATAAGTCTCCTAACCCTAAAGTTAACTCTCTTATCCACTGTGCCAGGCTGCCTCTCATTGGAAAAAAAAAAGTTGATAGACTCATGTTTGAAAAATAACTTGCAGGGGCAGCTAGGTGGCACAGTGGATAGAGCACCGGCCCTGGATTCAGGAGGACCTGAGTTCAAATCCGGCCTCAGGCACATAACACTTACTAGCTCTGTGACTCTGGGCAAGTCACTTAACCCCACTGCCTAGTCAAAAAAAAAAAAGAAAAATAACTTGCAATATATTTATCTACAGAAATAATTTGGTTAAATCCCTTTTCCATATCTCTTTAAACCTTAATTTCATTCTCCAACCATAAGCACATATAATTATGTAAACTGAATATGTACTGAATAAATACTGATAGAAGATAACTTCTGTTCAGCTTGCTACTATATTGCAATGTTAGAGCTATAAGAATCTTTGGAGATTATCTGATGCAAACTCTTTATTTTGTAGCTAGGAAACTGAAGCCCAAAGAGGGGTACTCATAAACTCCATTCATTGTTTTACACTCTTAGCTTTCTAAAAAAGACACAATTTTCTCTTCACCAAATGCTTACCCATTTCATGAACATTAATGGTAAATAAAACAAACACAAATTTTAGGAGATCTCAGTTTCACGCCTGGCCCTACAACTCACAGGTTATGTGACTGTAGGTCACCAGGCTTCTCTGTAAAATGAAGGAGATGGATTAGATGATCTCTAAGGTCCTGTCCAGCTCCAAACAGTACGATCCAATCCGAAAAGGAAAGGGAAGTATCCTAAGCATGCAAGATTTTGGACACCAAGTGAAAGCCCCTCAAACACCTGGAAACCATGCAGAATGAGGCTGGGAATCAGAAACTTGCTTTGGTCCAAAGGGAAGAGTTGAGAAAACGTACCTCCTTCCATTCTTTGATGGACATTTTTTTTTGAGGCAATTGAAGTTAAGTGACTTGCCCAGGGTCACACAGCTAGTAAGTGCCAAGTGTCTGGTCTGAGACCAGATTTGAACTCAGGTCCTCCTGACTCCAGGGGCAATGCTCTATCCACTGAGCCACCTAGCTGCCCCTTCTCCTTCCATTTTTTGCAGAGGATTATTGGTATTGAATATTATATTTGCTGTTCATAGTTAGTGGAAAAACCACTCGAGTCAAGCGAATAGAACCAGAACAATTTACATAACAATAATAATAACAACGACAACAATAATGATGAAGATGATAACTAGCACTTGTTCGGTGCTTTAAAGTATGCAGTGCAATATACCAATATGATCTCATTTGATCCTCACAACAATTCTGAGAGGTAGGTATAAATATTATCCTTATTTTTAGGTGAGGAAACTGAGGCAGACAGAGGCTAAGTGACTTGCCTAGGGTCACACAGTTAGTAAGTGACTGAGGCTGGATTTGAACCAGAGTCTTCCTGACTCCAGGTCTAGTGCTTTATCCACTGAGTCACCAAGTTGTGTTAGTGACTACAATAATATAAAGGAAAGTGACTCTGAAAAACACAAGAACTCTGATCAATGAAATGACCAATCATGACTCCAGAAAAACCAAGTAACGGACTAAAGGTAAAGAAAGTGACATATATTTTCAGATATGGTCAATGTTTGAATTGGTTTGTTACAAAGGAGGGCTTTTATCACACGAGAGGAAGAGGAATAGGGTAAAGTGGACCAATAGTGACAGGAAGAAAGAAAAAACATTAATGAAATATTTTAAAAATACACAGAAAAGAAGGAAACTCGGGAAAAGTTAAAGACAACAAGGTAGGCAGTGTTAGTACTACTCTGTTAAATTTAATGTGCTTTTAAAAAAAGTTGAATGTAACAGAAGTTAATGGTTTATTATATAAACCTCTTTTTCTATTCATATTTGGAAATAATCATATTTGCTAAGTTCATAATAAGAAATATGTTCAAGTCCACTAGCTCTGAAGTAAGAGGAATGAGTATAAATCTTGCTTCTAGAAATAACTATTTGACCTTGGGCAAGTCACAACCTCCCTGGGCCCCATTCTTCTCCTCTGTAAAATGAGGGGATTAGATAAGATGGCTCTAGGGTCCTTTCTAGATTGAGAACTAAGATCTCATGTGTTGCTTGATTTTGCTGAAATGCTTTATTCCCCATCTTTTTTTATTCTTTTTTACAGAGAGGTATCATAGCACAGGAAGACATGGATTCAAATCTTGCTTCTAGAACCTACTTCCAGGTTGTATGCCTCATGGACGGGTAATTTAACCTCTCATGTGCTCAAGGCAACTCTCTAAGACTACTGGTTGCAGAAACGGGGATGCCCTGTACAACAAAAGGTGTTTCCTCTTTAAAATTCCCTGTATTAATGAAGTCACAGCTTTAGTCCCTATCCCTATATATAGGGGATGATTAGTTAGGCAGGGGAGAAGGAGAAATATATTTGCAAATGAAGTTGATGTAAAAAATAAAATGTAACAATAAACAATTTTTTAAAAAGCATTCTAAACTTGCCCTATAAACGACTGTAATTTAGTTTTAAAAAGAGGTACAGCTTGCTTTTACTAGAATCTAGTATTTACAGCAAAGAGCACACAAAGAGGTCAGAGGAGATATAAGAAAGGCAGAGGATGGGGAGGGTCACATGTTAGCCTAGTCAGCTAAATGATGATTCTCAGGCCTATCATTCAATTCAATATGCATTTTTTATTGTTCTATACAAAAAACTGAGCTATTTTTTTTTGTGAATTTAGAACCAGGGAAAAGGTCGAGAGGCCTAGAATACCAAGACTTGTAAATTCCTAAGCCAAAAAAATCTAATACAAATGAACTCTACCATGAGGTTCATATATCAAAGTGTGGTGCACTTGATATAAGTGAAATTGTATAAAAGCATCAGAGCAGAAATGGTGAAAAGGTACCTAGATCCTGGGCAGGGACCTTGCAGCACTCTGCTCACTGAGGAATTCGTAGGGGAACTATGACACACTCAACAAAGACCCTAGATCTTCTTCCTTTAAAACCAGCTAAGGGGATGCTTTGTAGACCCTTCTCCAGCAGATCCAAAAGAGTAGATCTAAAGGTCATGGCAGAGTCTTCACAAGGCAGTAAATCTGAGATCATTTTTGATATGTACTGGTCAGTGACACAGCTGTTTGAATTAAATTTCAATAAACATTTACTAAGCATTTATCAAAACCAAGACTCTATGCTAAGGGCTGAGGATACAAAGAAAAAACAAAATGGTTCCTGACCTAAAGAAGCTGATACTTAACTAGTAGAATACAACCTGCACACTGCTAAGCAAATAAAAGGTAATTTAAGAAGGGAGAGAGCATAAAAAACTGGAGGAACCAGGGAAGGTTTATAGAGAGATAAATACCTGAGCTGAGCCTTGAAGGCAAGGATTCTAAGAGGTGGGAAGGAAGATGAATTGCATTTGAGGGACAAGGGACAGCCTTGCAAAGACACAGAGTCAGGAGAAGGAATACTGAATTCCAGTAACAGATGGAAAATAATGGCTGGCTGTAATATAACAAATAGCAGGGACATGAGCAAGCATGAAGGGGAATAATAAAATGTCCATTAAGGTAAGTGGGAGTCAGGTTGTGTAGGGTTTTAAAAATCAGGACAGAAATAAGAAATGGCTAAACAAATTGTGATGCAGGCATATAATGGGACATTGCTGTACTTTAAAAAGTGGTGAATATGAAGAATTCTGAGAAGGAGGGAAAGACTTATGAAGACTAATGCAGAGTGAAGCAGAACCAGGAGAACAATTTACACAAATGACTACAAGAATGTAAATGGAAAGAATGGTACAATGAAACTGAATGCTGTGTGATTATAATGACTAAGTCTGGGTCCAGGGAAAAGGCCAAATTTTCCCTTTCCCTTCATTGCAGTTATGAGACAACAGGTAGAGAACATTACGTATACACATACAGAGAATATCATATAGAAAGAGATGACATGTTGGTTAGTTTCACCAAGTTGCTTTTCTTCCCTTTCTTCTTTAATTATTGTTATAAGGGATGGCTTGATGGGGAGGGGAAAGGTGAGGGATAGCTCTGGAAACTAAGATCAATCTTCATTTTTAAATGTCAGGGTAGAGTTTATACTTTATCTACTCAAGAAGTTTGAGGAGGGTGGTGACAAGGTCAGATTCTTTTGGCAACTTTATTGGAAGATGGACTGAAGAAGGAAGAGACTGGAAGCAGGGGAACCAATTAGAAAGCTATTACAATAGTCTAGGCTAAAGTTATCGAGGGCCTCATCTATGGATCTGGGTATCTGAGTAGAAAGACAGCAACAGATTCAAGAAATTACATGGAGGCAGAATAAAGAGAATTATGCAACTGACTGGATGGGAGGCAGGGCAGGTGAGAGAAAGGCAAGATAAGGATATCTTGGAAGTTGTAAAACTAGGTGACTAGAAGAGGATAGATTTTCCAAAAAGCAAGGGAGTTTGGAAGAGGTGCAGATTTAGAGGGGGAAAAGATAATCAGTCTTGTTTTGTACCTGCTGCATTTGAGATGCTCTTGAGGCATCAAGTGGAGATATCCAGGAGGAAGCTGGCACTGTAAGAAGGACTGGGGCTCTGTAAAAATGATTTAGGACTAGATATAAAGATATGAAAATCATATACAAAAAGATAACTGGACTCACAGGAGTAGAAGAGGTGACCAAGGGAGAGAAAGAGGGCCAAGGACAGAACTCTGGGGGACACTCACACAGTTGGGGGGAAAGAGATGGATGATAACCCAGAAAGGGAGACTGAGGAAAAGTCAGACAGACAGAAGGACAACCAGAAGAAAGCAGTGCCACAGAAAGTCAGGAAAGAGAGAATACACAAGAGCTGGGATAAGTCAACACTATTAAAACCTGCAAAAAAAAAAATGAGGACTGAAAAAAAAAGGTTATGAAATGGTTTATAACTCTGGAGGGGCCAACTTTGCCTGAGCGTAGGAGTCCGAAATGAGAGTACAGGGGACTGAGAAGTAACTGGAAAGTGAGTAAGAAGAAACCGTAAAGACAGACTAGTTTTTCTAGGACTTTGGCTGTGAGAGGAGAAAGAGAACTAGGCCAAGAACTTGAGGAACAGCAAGGTCAAGTGAAGCTTTTAAAAAAAAAATCTTTAAGTGAACCTTTTTTAAAGATAAGCAAGACTTTGTAGATACAGGGAAGGTGCCAGTAGATAAGGAAAACTGAAAGGTACCTGAGAGAAGGAAATGGGATGAGTGAGTTCCTAGAGGTGACAGATAGGGATAGGATAAAGGATTCAAGCAGAGGGACTGAGAAGGGCCATCTCTTCATCAGAGATGGAAGGAAAAGTAGGCAAGAAAGGGGAAAGATGAAAAGGGGTCAGAGGTGGGGGAAAAGAGCTTATAACAGACACTCTGATTGTCTCAGGAGATGTGAGGTCATCCACCGAGAGAGGGACAAAAGGCTTTTTGTTGTGTGACTTTCACCCACAGCACTCCATAGGAGAAGAGAAGTAGGGAAGGCACATGAGAAGGCCATCCTAGGGCTGGCGTGGCCAAAGGTCAAGGAATTCAAGGGTAGAAGACAAGGTGCAGATGAACTGGTCAAGTACAGAATCAAGATAATGATAGGAGGACTATAAAGCCAGAGCAGGGATAACAGATTGGGAGAAGAGGGAGGAGTAGAGAGACTGAAGCTCATGGTGAAGAGAAAAAATAAGTTTAGTGATACAGAGGTACAAATGAAAAAAGGAATTTGTAATCAGATGGGAACTTCAGAGTTCAGGATCATGGAGATAGTCAAATTATGAAGCATTTATTAAGTACTTCTTATGAGCCAGGCACCATGCTAACTCCTGGAAATACAAATACAAGCAGAAAGAAAAACAAAAAGAAGCTGAAAATGGTAAGAGGAACGTTCCCCAGATGGATGTTGCCAGAGAAAGTCTGAAAGACCAAGAGTGAAACCTGGAGAGTGACGAGTATACAGTGGCCTGGGTGTCCTGATGGTGAGATGGCGGCATGACCGTCCCAACAGCTAAGACTGATGGACTGGGAGGCCAGGCTGTTGGGGAGACTCCAACAAGTAAAAGAAGTCCCTGAAAAACAGAAAAGGGGCTTGGCTAGCGAGGAAAACGAAATCTCTGAATTTCTTGAGAAAATCAGCAGTCTCCTGCAGGCAGTGGATTACAGCAGAAAGACACTGGAATAGGTGATGGAGAAAGTGAATCTCAAAGGAGGAGATAATGAGGAATGATGGTGGCAGAGGAAAGCTCTGGAAGTGGAAGTGTGGAGGAGAGACTATAATGATTCTTTCTCCTGGCCCAGTGTGCTGGATGACATGAAAGAAAAAGCAACTAGTTTCAGAGTGGGAGGCCAGGGATGCAGCATCTTCCAAAGGCAGCTAGGTTTCCAAGAATGCATGAAGAGCAAAAGCGTGAAAGGAAGAGGTCTGGGATGAAAGGGATTTTATTAAAAATAGAACGAAAACTCCATAGGGCACAATGGAAGAGGAAGGCAAAAGAGGAGAGGGAATAGGAAGGTGTAGGAATGGCTGGATGGGAATAAAAGAGTACAGGAAGAGGCCTTTTACCTTGGCAAATACCAACTTTGAATAATTACAGAAATTAATGGAAAAGCAGATAGTTTTTCCCAGCCACAGGACAGGAAAAGTTCAGATCTGACTGGGGCCTCTACCCTCCTGGGTCCTGTTATATGTATTTCCCATCTTCCTAAATATGTACAGTAGAAAATTTTAAAACATTCTTGGAGACCATAAATACTGACTCATCATAATTATTTACAAATAGTAACCCTCCTTTCTCCAGTCACCTGAGGCTTTTCCTCTTCTTCTTCCTTCTGGGTCTGTACTCTCTCATTTCGGTGTCGCCGACGATAAAGGTGTGTGTCATCAGTTGTCACGTTTGAAAACATGTGAATATTTCCTGGTTAAAAAAAAAATTAGCATAGGGAGCAAACAAACCTCTCTCCCTGCCTTATCCATGACTCCCTTTGTGGTGAGTTTTAATGTAACTGAAATTATCTAATGATTTTTCTCAATAGTCTTCTAAGAGCGGCTCACTAAGTATTCTTCCATATTTTACACACAGGAGAAACCAGGATTCTGAGATGAAGACTAATCAAAGTGACATAGCTATAAACCAAACCTTCTTAGCTCCCTTGCCTCTGAACTGGGCCCACATTTAAGTATTTTTAAAAAATGTATAAAAACTATACTGAGGAAAACAGTAGAGTTTAATGGAATGAAGAACCATTGTTCTTGTCTCTGTCACTAATGACTGGCTGTGGTCAGCCCTGTTTTATAACTTTGGCAGCTACATATAACAATCAACTCTCCTCCTCAGCATTTAGTAGCTAGGTATTACACTCCAAACTCCAGTGCGTCAGGACAGCATTTGTAACCTTTTTTTTTTTTTTAGGCAATTGGAGTTAAGTGACTTGCCCAGGGTCACATAGCTAGTAAGTGTCAAGTGTTTTGGTCTGAGGGCAGATTTGAACTCAGGTACTCCTGACTTCAGGGCCGGTGCTCTATCCACTGAGCCACCTAGCTGCCTCAAGCATTTGTAACCTTTAACCCTCCACAGAGAGGCATCATGGCATAGTGGATGGAGAGAAGTCCTCTGACCAAGGATGATCTGGTCAGAAGTCCCACTTCTGACACAGTGACACTGACATGGTGTGTGACAGAAGACAAATCACTTAACCTTGCATTGTTCTAAGCAAATAAGTTACAGAGAAGGTGCTGATTTATATTGGGAGAGAGATTTCCTCATCTGGAAGTTCACTTTAATCAATGAAATAACAGGTCTATTCCCTATCCCTGGCTTTCCATTAGTACAATCCTACAAGCATAGCAACTGATCCTCTAGTCAGGTTCTCAAAAGTGTGCTTGTCTATAGCATATCAGGAATACTAACCTGTAGGAAAATGTCCTCCAAAGAACACATTGAAGACCTCCTCTGGAGTAATGTCAGCTTCAAAATCTGAGTAATAAGCATAGGGTCGGGCCTGGGGCGCAGCAAAAGTTGCTTGTTCATCTCCATATTCATCATAGCGTAATCTTTTATCAGGATTGCTGAGAACAGCAAACGCATTCCCTATTGCTATAGAGGAAGGGGGAAAAACATGTCAGAGCTTACAGTTAGCCGTCCTTTCTTCCACTGATTTTAAGTATGTAACTTTTATACTTATATACTATATATAAGTACATAGAACTCCCAGCAACTAGGAGAATAAGGTCAATTTCTATATGGCAACTTCACACAGATTTAAGGTGCAGCCAAGGTGGAAATTTTGGCGTAAGAAGCATTTGTGTGGTGCACAGGGCAGCTAGGTGGCACAGTGGATAGAGCACTGGCCCAGGAGTCAGGAGGACCTCAGTTCAAATTCGGCCTCAGACACATAACACTCACTAGCTACGTGATTCTTGGCAAGTCTCTTAACCCCAAATGCCTCACCCAAAAAAAAAAAAAAAAGCACTTGTGATTATAAGCGTTCCAAAAATGCTATCCACATCCTGATGTGGACTTGACGAAGATGTAGATCAAAGCATACTATTTAAAAAAATTTTTTTTCACAGTTTTTTCCTTTCATTGTTTTTTCTTATACAACATGACTAATATGGAAATATGTTTTACGTGACTGCACATATATAACCTATACCAAATTGCTTCCTGTCTTAGAGATGAGGGAGGTGAGAGAGGAAGCGAGAAAATCTGGAACTCAAAATTTTATTAAAAAAAGAAGGTAAAAGTTTTCTTTACATGAAATTGGAAAAAATAAAATATTAATTAAAAGGAAAAAAATAAGCATTCCAAATGTAAATAATGGCTCACAGTCTGAGTTAGAGAAATAACCAAATAAAACAATCACCAAAAGCTTTTTTCAACTCTTTTCCAAAAACTCTTTTCCCTTACATGTTTTTAGCTTATTTTAGAAATCAGTGATATGTTTATTGATTTTTTTTTGAGATCAAGTCTCCTTACCTCACCCACGTTTAGAAGTTCAGAAGCCTCTTGATAACCCCAAAAATTCTCCCAAAATATCTCAAAATCCTAAATCCTACTACCTACTCCATTTTCCCTGTGGGTCAGTGCGACCCTCCCTACCCATAATGGTGGCTTCCCCCTAAGGCCCCTGCCCCTTGGGGCTCACCATACAGGTGCTAGATTTAGCAGATTTAGTTAGGACACAGAACCCTGCAGTTCAGAATTCCTGAGTTTGAGATCCACCAGCTTCAACCTCCTCTATTGCAAGGATTACAGGTGTTTGAGACTATGCCCAGCCATTTATTAACTTTCAAAGGCCAAGATCTGAATGGGGACTTGAGAAATTAAACAGAAGGTAAACCGAAGGAGCTAAAAAAAAAAAGTCTTCTGTGAAAATACTTTTTTGCTTTGCACAACTCAATGGGAAAATAAGGATCTGACTCCATTTAAATATTCAATCAATAAAATCACCCTGAAAATATCTCCACTTTTTCAATTAATTCAATTCAATTAATACTGCAAAATGCTTTAAAGGAAGGACTAGTTTCTATACACAGCACTTTTCATTACATAATATAGTGTTTATTAATAGCAAGATAACGTAACACTTAAAGAGAATATTTATTTCACTTCAACAAACATTGTTAAGCATTTACTATATGCTTGACTTATCTTATGTCTGATTACCTCAAAAAAGGTAAACTAGAAGATTGCATACATCACTGCAGTTCTGACCAAAACACCATCTTCCTGACTAGGAGTTCTGCTAAGTGTTTAGAGTAATGGCATAACTACTAAACCATTCCAGTTACATGAACCTCTCAATAAAATGACAGTTAACTACTGTTGACTTTTTTTTTTTTAAAGACTGGATCTCACTATCTCCCCCAGACTGGCAGCGAAGGGGCTCCTCACAGGCCTGATCCTGGCACTGATAGGCACAGGATCTCTGACTCACTCTATTCTGACCTGGGCTGGTTTGCCTGTCCTTTAGCAGTCCCCACCTAACACTTTCCCCATCTCCCTGCCCCAGCCCCTACCAGTTCCTAGGGACTTACCATGCTGATGCCAGATTTAGTCATGACATACAGTCTGCACAGCCCACTGCGGTTCAGAACTTGCCCAGTTCCTACCATGCCGGGCTGCCTGTTCTTAAATAAGCGTGCCAAGAGCATAAAGAATGACTACTTGTTTAACTTTTCAGAGAGGCCGTAGAGGAGAGTTAAATGCACCTAAGATGGCACATCAAATTTAACAATGAACAAATTCAACAAAAATTTATTAAGCACTTCTTGTATGACCTTGGGTAAACTGCTTAACTTCCTTGAGCCTCAGTTTCCTCATCTGTAAAATGAGAGGGTTGGACTAGATTTGTTCTAAGGTCCCTTCCAGTTCTAAATCTATGATCCTACTAAGTATAAGACAATCAGGGACACAAAGATGAAAAACAATAAAATCCCCTACCTCTCAAGGACCTCACAGTCTATTGGGAAAAGACTAGCAGAAAGGTAAGGAGTGACAGGATCAAAGGGAGAGAGGTCAGACAAAATGCCCTAGGAAATTTTGAGAAAGGAGAGAACACCTGAAGGTGGAGGTAACAGGAAAAGTTTCACAGAAGAAAGAGGCATTTGACCTGAGCTTGAAGAAAGATAAAGATCTGAGCCGGTGAAACGGAGGAGGGACAGCATTGTAGGCAGCTGATGGTCTGTGAAAATTCACAATGGCGGGAATGACAGAAGTTTGAGAACCAGCTCATATTCCAGTGTGGCTGGAATGCAGTATACAAAAGGAAGTGATACAAACTAAGACTGGGAAGGTAGGGGACAACCAGACAGTAGAGGGCATTAAAGACCAAGCTAAGGCGTTTATATTTCATGCCAGAGGCAACAGGGAGCCACTGAAGGTTCTGAACAGGGGAGATTATTTTAGCAGTTATGTGAGGGGTAGATTAGAAAAGTGTGAGAGTGGAGGAAGACCAGGCTATTAAGAATATTATGGGCTAGAGATGACAAAGACTTGTACTACAGAAGTTAATCAAGTGTAAAGAACATACACAAAAGACAAAAAGAACCAGTGGGGTATCATGGGAAGGGCACTGTTTAGAGTTGGGAAGATGTAGGTTCAAAACCCACCTCTAATATTTAGTGAATGTCTTACTATGGGCAAATCATTTAACCTCTCAGACTATTTTCTCATCTGTAAAGTGGGGACAATAACAACTATAGTACCTACCCCACACAGTTGTGAGGATCAAATAAAAATAAGTAAAACACTGAAACTTGACAAAACATAGTAACTGACAAAGGGGGAGGTGAGAAAGAAAGAGGGAAGAATCAAATATTACAGAGGTTACAAAAACCTGAAGGAGTAGAAAGATAGTGGCATCATCGATCCAGTAAGCATTTATTAAACACTACTAGCTACAAAGCCTGGTGCTAGATCCAAGGGATACAAAGACAAACGGTAAAGCACTCCCTCTTCTCAAGAAACTTACATTCTGCTGGAGGGACACGATATATAAACTAGTAAGTGAATGTGTAGTAATTTCAGAAGGAAGGAGGAAGCATTAACTAAGGAAAGTCTTATTGTAGGAGAGCAGTTCTTATTCTTTTTGGTCTCAGGACCCCTTTACACTCTTAAAAAATTACTGAGGACCCCCTAAAGTGCTTTTGTTTATGTGGGTTGTATCCATCAATGTTTATATTAGAAATTATAATATCTTTGTATCATTAGGAAAATGATTTCGACCTTGTGGAACCCCCTGACAGGGACTTGGGGACCCTTAAGGGTCCCTAGACCATGCTCTGAGAACTGCTGATATAAGGAATGGCACAGCAGTTGATCCATGAAGGAAGCTCCAGTGTTGCTAAGGGGGTGGAGGTGAGGGAGTCCATCCCAGGCAAAGGGGACAGTCTGGGCAGAGGCAGAGGCAGAGAGAACAAGTAAGTTAGTTTGGCTGGAACATAAGAGTGGATTATAAGGCTATAAAGATAAGCTATAGCCAGAATACAAAGGCTTCTAATGTCGATCTGAGGAGGCTCTGAGGGTCCTGGAACAGTAGTGACACAGTCAGACTTAGGCTTTAGGAAGATCATTTTGGTTGCTGTGTGGAGGGCAGACTGGAGAGAGAAGAGAATGGAAGCAGAAAGACTATCTGGAAAGTTGTTTTGAGAGTTGGAGAGAAGATGAGAGTCTCCACTTGGGGAGATGGCTATATAAACGTAGAAAAGGGAACTGATTCTAGACATACCTTGGAGGGAGAATCTGATTGGGTATGAGGAGTGAGGGAGAGGGAAAAAAATCAATGGAAATAGGGAAATTTGGTGGAGGGCTAGATTTAGGGGAGAAGATTGTGAATTGATTTTTGGTCATATTGAGTTTCAGATACTGATGGGGCATCCAAGTGGAGATTCCCAGCAGAGAGGTGGATATGTGGGATTGGAGCTCAGAGGCTGGACAGACAGATGTGAAAGTCATCAGCACAGAGGCAAAAACTGAACCTATGAGTATGAATGAGATCACCAGAGAGAGAAAAGAGAATACCTAGGACAGAGCCCAAGAGAATCACCACCTCATGGGATGGAGGAGGAGGAGGAACTAGTGAATCTGACAGATAAGGAGCAAGCAGACAGGAAGGAGAATCAAGAGAGAACAATATCATGGAAGCCAAAGAAGGGGAAAGTATCCAGAAGGAAAAGGTGGGGCCAATGGTATAAAACGCTGCAGAAAGCTGAGAAAAGATCAATAGATTCAGTAACTGAGAGGTCTTTGAACCTTAGGTCAAGAACCCCTGATTTTTAGTGAAAGGACTTCATTTTACAGACAAGGAAACTGAAGCTTAGAGTGCGGTAGTGACTTCCTTGACCTAGGGAACATGGCTACTAAGCGGCAAAAGTTAAGATTTGGAAACTTAGATTAACAGTTTGTATTATTGAAAGTTACCTTATCCTGAAGACTGACCTAAACCAACGTTTATTCAAAAGTATCGTGGGACAAGGTGGGTATTTAAATAAACCCACTATTTAAAATAATTGTATACAATAGTCCCCTGATGAAATAAAACCATTATATTTCCGATTAAACAAAATGCTATGACAAGACTTGAAGGAGAACTCAAACATGATTTCAGCTGTAATACCTTTAAAAGCTTCTGTGGCCCCAGGTGCACAGTTCTTATCAGGGTGAAATTTCAGGGCCAGTTTTCTGTAAGCTTTCTTGAGATCCTCATCACTGGCATCTCTGTCAACTCCCAGAATTTCATAGTAACTTCTGCATTTCTTTATCCTAAAAAATGTCAAAAGTAGTTATACCTTTCAAGATACTTTCATATGGTTTATTTTGTCTGCTTTACGCCACTGGTGGTACACAAATCTACATTTTACAGAGGTAGAGTCAAGACTCATAAAATGCTAGAAATGGAAGGAACCTTCAGAGGTCTTCACCCAGACTACAGAAGCTACTATTCAACTCCATCCCTCCCAGCTCCAGTCTCATCCATGGAGCCCCTGCAATCTGATCACCCAGAAAACTAAAGAGAGCTCTTCACTCGTGGGGAATGAGATTGTGAAAGCTCATTCCACCCATCAACATTCCAAATGGAACATCAGAGCTACGTAACTCTGCGTGCTTCTCTTGTAGTAAATGTCTCTAATGTAACACTTTCGGACACGGTCAATGTGTGAATTTGTTTTGCTTGGCTTTATGTATTTTTTTTACAAAGGTTTTCTTTTTCCTTCTTTTCATAATGCAGGGGAGATGGGAGAGAAAAGAAAATAAATGCTTGTTAGCTGAAAACAAAAAAAAATAGAGTAAAAAACAAAACCCCCCATCTTAACCCACTCTCTCCTCCCCTTTTCCCTATGGCCAACGCGCTCCTGACAGCTCACTTCCCAATTCCCACAGGATAAGAGATCATAGATTTTGAGTTGGAAGGGCGCTTGATGGTCCTCTAGTCCAACCTCTCATTTTAAAGATAAGGAAACCTACATACCTGAGAGGTTAAACAGCTTACCCAAAGTGGCAGAACCAGGATTCAAATGCAGGTCCTCTCACTCCAAATCTATATCACCACTCCATCACAAACCCTGTCCTGCTACGACATCTCCCCTAAGCTTTTCCATTCTTGTTCGCCTGACCCCTTCCATTTAGGCCCTTACCTTCTCCTGCCTAACCCTTTTACGTTCTCCTCTGACGTTCCTTAAGCTCTCCTTCATCTTGGACCTCTTCCTCTTCCGGCCACTCCACTTACTTGTACCAACTGAAAACTGACATTCCCCTGAAGGCTCCGCATCTCGCACTACCCTCTCTAATGCAGGCTGCCTCTCTTCCCATCCCCTATTCTCACAAGGTCCGGAAGCCAAGGATTACTCCTTTCTCTCCTACCATCATTCAACATTTCCTCTGCAGGGATGCCAGCTGATCAGACCACTCTCCCCTGAACACTTCTTTGTCACTTTGCCACCTTTTCCTATCACTGTGGCACTTGGCTCAGTCTTCTCTATTCTTCCCTTGGCATGATTTTCAGAAACTTCCACATCTACAATGATGAATCTCCTTTCTGCCCTCATAGTTTCTTGAACTCTTCAGTCCCTATGACTTCCACCTCCATTTTACCTTAGTCAACCACAGGTGTGCACATCCCAAACACACTCTATAAACACTTAAGGGTCATATCCTGGACCTTATCATCACTCAAAACTACTCTGCTTCCAAAATAATGAATTCTATAATAATGAAAGAAATTCCTCTATTATTATGATCATCTGTCCTTCAGTCTATCCTACTCATTTATTCCTCCCATATCTGTGTCCTCATCACAACCTTTGGTTACTTGATTTTTTTCTACTTTCCCTTCATTCCTACCTTTTTTCATTATCTTCCTTTAGATTCTAAACCTTTTGCTTCTTTAAATGAAACATTATTTTGTTTAGCAGTATAAAGTATATCCTTGGTAGACTGATTAATATTGTATTAATTCATTTAGCCCAGCATAGCCATGAACACTGGTTGTTCTTCTGGTTATTTTAATCATTCTTTATGTCTTTAAGGAATATTTTGTAATAGTATCTATGCCACACTCGAATGACTTAGTAACTAACACACAGATATTTCATGCATTTTGTAATTATTTTAAGTGGAGTTCCCATTTTTATTTTTAATACTACTATGTAGAAATGCTATTGATATTTATGGGTTATTTTGTATACTGGTATTCTACTCAATCTATTACTGTCTCAATTAGTTTCTTTGCTAATTCTCTAGGATGTTCTAAGTAAACTATCATGTCATCAGCAAATACGGAAAATCATTTCTTCTTTGTTGCTATTTATGCTTTTAATTTCTCCTATCTCATTGCCATTACTAGCATTTCTGGATCTATGTTATATAACAGCAGTGAAAAAAGGCTTACCTTTTACTCCTGGATTGGAAAAGTTGTATTTATCCACTGCCAGTAAAGCTAGCTTTTTACATATATGCTTTTTCTTACCAAAATATAGTCCTTGCATGCTGGACTTTGTAGGGTTTTTACTATAAATGAGTGTTATATTTTGTCAAAGTCTTTTTCTACATTATTTGATATAATTGCATGGTTTTGAATGTTTTTGTTTTTTAAAATGATTGTTTTCCTACCATCAAACCATCTTTGCATTCCTTGTATAGATTCAACTTGATTACAGTGAATAATTTTTTTGTATATAATGCTGAAATCTTTTTTCCAGGATTTTATTTAAAATTTTTGGAATCAATATTTTCTAATAATGTTGATCTATAGTTTTCTTTCTTTGCTTTATCCATTCCTTCTTTAGGTATTATCTATTTTCTCAGTAATCAACACTGTTCTGGCCTTATTTTCCTCCCTACCAAGCGTCATCTACTCTATGATCAGTTGTTTTAATATTGTCCTCACCTTCACTCTGGAATCCCTTGCTACTTTGACAGTTCCATATTTTTTCACCTTGTTAAACCTCAAGCCTAGATAACACCCAAAACCTGCCTTTTCTGGTCCTACTGTGGTATAAATATGAAACACAACGGATCTGGAATCAGAGGAAACAAGTTCAAACCCTAATTTTGTTATTTACTACCTGTGTGACCATAGTTAAGTCATTTACCCTCTCTGGGCTTCAGTTTCTTCATCTGTAAAAGGAAATAACTGAACTAGATCAGGGGTTCTTAATCTTTTTTTCTGTTATAGACCCTTCTGTCAGCCCTAGTGGAACCAATGGACCCATCTCAGAATAATGTTTTAAATGCATAAAATAAAATACATAGGAGATTACAAAGGACACCAATTATATTGAAATAGAATTACTGAAATACTTAAAAAAAAAGTTCACAGACTCCAGGTTAAGAAGCCCTGGACCAGAAGAATGATCTCTAAGGTCTTTTTCTAGTTCTATTCCCTTTGGTCACATGAAACTGTAAAACTGGGCTAGGTCCACTACAAATTTATGCTATTTACCCCTCAACTTACTGCTGAAACACTATCTTCTTACTTGTATCTTGACTACCATCTTCTTTCCCACCACATCTATTACAAAACTCAAAGTTTTCCAAAATCTGACAACTTACCTTTAAAGTCTTATTCCACATTAGTGCCCTTCTCATATTGCAAGTTCTAGACAAAATGGACTACTCCTCACCCTAATCTTGTCCATATCTAAACCTCCTTTTCATTTGTACCTGAAGTCCTTTCACTCCTTTAAAACCCAACCTAGGTGCCAGCTCCACCAAAGAGCTTTCCTTGACACACCATTCTCTAGACAAATGATCTGTCCCTAAATTTTTGTAGTACTTTCCTTAGTCCACTCCTTTTTATTTTTCTAAATGGCTCTCCCTTGTGTCAGTTATTTGTGTTATCTCTTCCGCCTTTAGATTGCGCATTCCCTGAGGGTACGGTCTGTGTTAGATTTATCCTTGTATTCCCAGCATCTGGCATGGTGCTTGCATATAAAAGAGGTTTTAAAAATGTCTAAATGAATGCATCTAATCCAAAGGGGTAATTTCACAACTGAGTAACCAGAGGCCCAAAGAGCTAAAGTGATTACAAGGAACTTGTGATGGAAAATGCTATCCACTATCCAGAGAAAGAACTGATGGACTGAATGCAGATCAAAGCATACTATTTTTCACTTTTTTTTCTATTGTGGTTTTTTTCCTTTTGGTCTATTTCTTCTTTCACAACATGACTAACATGGAAATGTTTTACATGATCATACATATATAACTTATATCAAATTGCTTACCATCTTAGGAAGAGGTGAAGGGAGGGAGAAAACTTTGGAACTCAAAATTTTGTAAAAATGAATGCTTAAAACTGTCTTTTCATATAAATTGGAAAAAAATAAAATGACCTGCCCAAGATTACACAACAGAGCTGAGATCAGAACCTTGATTTTTCAATTTGATGTGTTTGTCCCATTCTTCTGCGATATTTCTTAAGTATAGAGAATATATGAAGCAACTCGAGAGAGGAAGGCAGTGGATATAATAGAATGAGTATGGCTCTGGACTTAAGAGGGCCGGGGTTCAAATCCTTACTCGGATGCCCACTACTTGTGAGACTCTAAGCAAGTCATCTAACCTTCCCTGTGCCTCAGTTTTCTCATCTGTAAAATGAAGGGGTTGGACAGATAATCTCTAAGGTCCCTTCCAGTTCTACAACTATAGTCCTATCATTCCAATCTACTGCACCATGCTGAAGGTTCACTCCATCATTGTTTAGTCACATGTAGGTTACATGTTTTATTAATGTAAAGAAGAAAGTGCAAATTCCCTAGGATAATATAACAGGATTACCTCTGCACCCCAAGTAACTGTTCTTCTGTATAGGTCATGCTAGCCTCTCCAGGCTGAACCTGATTTCTCTCATTCTCAAACTTCTTTTCCTTCTTAGAATTCATACAGTTATGGCATCCACAGAAGTCAGTAGTTTCGTCAGCTGGATATTTATTTCTTCTAAATGCATCAATGTATGCTGCAAAGCAACAGCACCTCCGTTAGGCCAAGCACTGTCCCTGAAAATCAGCCTCTCCTATCTGACTCTGGAGCTCTTTCTGGGAGCAGACAGGAATCATAGCCGCATCATTCATGAGCAGGTGAGTGTGGGGGCCATGCTATGGACTTTATATTGTCTTTTCAATGTCCAGACCAAAGCTGAATAAACACCTTCCCTAGGAAAATAACACAGAAAACACGGGAGGAAATTAATAAGGGCTTACACATGCTAGAAACACACAGGGTACTGGGTATATCGATTATCTTCATATATCAATTACTTTTACAATAGTCAGTCAGCAAACAGTCTAGATGCAGAACCAAGAGAAATCTTGGGCTCTGGTCCCAGCCAGCCCCGTGACTTTAGGAAAAGTGAATGCCTACATTTCCAGAGGCAGATGACTGATTGCTTCCTTTTGATGTTGTCCAGTTATCTGTGTTCAAAGCTGACACTGCTAAGAAGATAATCTATGAAGGACTGCTCACCTCTTTCAACACGCGCACACACACACACACACACACACACACACACACACACACTCCCTTCCTCCCTCCCTCCCTCCTCTACCTAAGGCTTAAGGCTAAAGCCAGCTGACCCCAGGCCCTGGCATGCCACAGTCCAGCCCTGCGCCCCTTGTATAGTGGGAGCTGCACTGAACCCTCAGCAAACACTGAATGAACCTGCACCTCAAGGTTTGTGCAATGAGGGCACGTTAAAGTCAGGGGCCGGTTTCGGGTACGCATGCGCGCGGAGGTGACGGGGGTGGGGGGCGGGGGCAGTTGGGGGCCCTCCCCAAAGGGAGGGGGAGGGGCAGAGCAGTCCCCTCCCCGGTCCTACCTCCAGGTAGGGCAGGGCGTAGGAAGCTGGCCCGAGGAAAGAACCAGCGAGAAAAGGATGCTTCCTGCCCCGCATTGGGCCTGAACCTGCTCCCGGGGTGACCCGTCAACGCCGGCGCTACCCGGGACAGCCCAAGCCCCTTGCCTCCGTCCTGCCCCCCGATCTCTGATCTCCCCCAAACCTGGGAAGCCCCCTTGCAGGCCCTAGCCCCCTGCCCTGGTACCTTCGGTCCAGTGGTCCCTGCTCCCCAGAGTCGCCTTCATGTCGGCTCCTCTCAACTGCACCGCTAGGCCGCAGTGGCGCGCGGAGGAGGATGCAGGTGGGGGGGAGGGGAGAGGAGGGCCGCGGGGGGAGGGGCGGTGAGGGGGGAGACGGAAGTGGGGAGGAAAAGGAAAGGAAATAGGGCCTTGCAGGGGTCGCCGGGAACGGTAGTCCCGACCAGCCGTGACGCACCAGCCGGCGTGATTACGCTGGACTACAGTTCCCAGCGCGCCCTGCGGGTGGCGTTGTCTCAGTATGTAATTGTAAAGATTAAAGGATAAGGGAGAGGAATGGATCCTCGGGGTGAAGCCAAGGCAGCTGAAAGATGTAGCAAAGAAGGGCTGGGCAGGGACCACGAAAGGAAATTTTCATTAATGATTGCCTCTGTGACTCATTTTGTGAACTTGCAACAGTAAACCATAGTGATATCCCAATACCTGATATTTCTGTAAAGCTTTACATGCATTTCCTTATTTGAGTCTCCAGCCAGTCTATAAATTGATATTCTAGGTATCGTTATTCGCCTTTTACAGATGAGGAACCAGAAGCATAAAGAGGTTAGCTAGTAAGTAAACCTAGGTCTTTCAAATTCCAGGTCTAACACTACACCACCTGCTTCTACAGAGCTGTACGGATCCTAATGGGGTTTGAACTGAAATGTCCATTTGGGCCAGATGTAGCTCCTGGGAGCTGAGAGGGGAAAACCCCAACAACCCCAAAAGTATGAGGAAGTCTAGGAAAGCTGCTCACACACCCCAGTTTCCCACACTTAGAAACAACCTTTTACAAAAAGCTCCAAAGCCTAGAACCCCAAGAAAACCTGTAGACTGTTCAATGCAATACAGAAGAGGCCCAAGGTTGATTCCTTTTGTGAGAGATGATCTCTCAGAAGTGAAGCCTCCTCAAAGGGTCATCAGGTCTTGTTAATGGTTCTGGTATTGTTGCTTTTGAGTGGTACATGTGTACCAACACTAAGTGAAGACCCCTCAGAATGCAAGACCCCCTCCCCTAGCCTTCTCCCTCTCCTATCTTGGATAGTGTTAGCAGAAATTCCTGAGACATGGGAGCATCCTGTCTATCTCGTCCTCCAGCTGGTTGTATGACCTTGGGTAAAAAGACTGCTGAAACTGTGAGGCCCTGAAAAGGGGAACGTGCTAACGTAATTTCTATACCTCTGTTCTCTCTGTTGCTGGGGTAGTTTTTACACGAATAGATTGTGAGGCTCAGTCAATGAGCCGACGGGAAGGGGGTTAGGGTGGGCTGCTACGTTGGGGTCTATGTAGTCTTGCCTTGAACAAAGAGCACTCAAACTCTCGGGGCAGCTGAGGCAGCATGGGGGTGCACTTTCTGGAGAAAGTCAATGAAGACATCTCTCCTTTTATAAACTTTTGTCAAGACTCTGTTTTTTTTTAACTGAGTGAAACAATGTAAACAATGTGCGATCTCTCAGATGGTCGGAGTGTAGCAATTTCTTAGACTGTTACAAACTCAAGGTTGGTTACACTAGCCTGAATAGGCCTAAGTTTCAGGTTCCTAGTTACATCAGCATTAGGTAATGACTAATTACTAAAAAGGATAAAATAGCTAGGATTGGTAGTATTATAATGAGATTCCTTGTTTCTGGGGTAGATTTTTGCATTTTAGATTGTAAGGCTGAAATTCCTGTCCAATGGGAATTCAAAGCCAGTGGTGGGTGGGTATCTCAGCGTTAGGGCTATATAACCTTGGTCCTGGCCTTTGCCTTGCCTCGCTTTGCTCGGACTGCCTGCCGGTCAAAGCAGACGCCGGCTTCTTGCGAAAACGTAATAAATCTTTCACTTTATACCTGGAAAATCTCTGAGTGTTATTTTTGGGTAGCTGTAGCACACACATAAGCTCCTTAAGATAGTGATGATTTCAGTTTTGTCTATATTTCTAGCACAGTCAGGTGACATAATAATAACTTAACAAATGCCTGTTGAATGAATGAATAGCTCATATCTTTTCCTGCGGTAAGAGATCAGTGAAAAGGAAACGAAGCAATGCTCTCTGATTGTCCTTAGTCAGTATCAGCTCATATAGATCCAGCTTCTGCCGGAGCCCAGCTCCTCACTGTTTATATCCCTTTATTTGGCATCACTGAGGTCATATATATCCCATCCCCCTCCAGGCCACTCAAAGAAATTGGTATTAGTAGAATTTGAGGTCAGGAAAGCTGGGATTTAGCATGGACTATCCAGTGTGCTATAAAACATAGAACTTCAACAACTTTATTTTTATAAATGTTTTAAGATTTTTAAAAGTTTTTTTTTTAATTTAAAACGTTTATGTGATTTGGTATTTGTAAATAGAACAATAAAAAATAATGGCCATGCAGATAAGAGCTTATCTTCCACCCTCATCTTCTTTTCAGTTCTGCCTGGGCAATACTTCTTGCCACATCAGTGTTGCAACCTGGTGGCCCCTCCAGGAGACATAAAGAATGAAATGGAAGTATAATAAGAGGATGTGCAAGTCCAAATGGTGGGCCATTATCTTAACAGTTCCAGTTAGTGTCCTCTAGGTCCCAGGAAGCCCCCTGTTGAACAGACAACCTCCACCTTGTGCCGAATGGCCTTTGCCATGATCCAAGTAGTATCATCCCAGTTCCAGGCATCTCCCTATAAGGCCCAAGCAATACCCACTTAAACCTAGGCTCACATAGCCTTTTTAGGGGCCCAGATAAAGTCACTGGGTAGTGTGTTCTAGTAGCAAGAGCCCAGGGAAGGAAGGACAAAGGAAGGAGAAAGAATTCCCACTCTTCCTGCTTCTGCTTTATTTCAGTATCTCTCAAGACTCCATGAATATTACAGTTTGGAGGTCAGGGAGAAGAATTGAGTTAAAAAGTGTTTTTCTCACAAATATCTGTCACCAATATAAACTTCAGTTTTCTGATCTGTAAAAATGAGACAGTTGGATAAGATAACCTTTAGTACCCATTCCAGTGCTGAGCCTATATTTCAGCTCCTATCTCTATGTAGATGCTAAGGGTCAAAGGAGGGAAGAGAAGAGGCTATATTCTGAAGCACTGAATTATGCTCTCCTATGCCCATGATGTCAAATACCCTCATTTTACAGATCAGAAAACTGAAGTCCTTTGGGCATTAATTCTTTTTGACCTTTAATGCTTTTCTACTAATCTGCTGGATTTGACATTATTGATCCTCTCCTTCTGAATACTCTCTGCTATCTGGGTTTTTGTGACATTTCTCACCCCTGGTTCATCTTCTGCCTGTTTGACCTCTCCTCATTCTCATCATCCACATTGTACCCTTTAATTGAGGGTTAAAAGTTCTGTCCTAGGTCCTCTGTACTCTTTCTCCCACCCTCCATTCCCCTTCCTGCCTTCCTTCCTTCCTTCTTTCTTTTTTCTTCTTTTCTTTCTTTCTTTCTCTTTCTATAAACTCATCAGCTTCCAAAAGTTTAACTATTATCTTTATGCAGATGACTCCTAGATCTAGCCCCAGTGTCTTCCCTGAACTTCAGTCTTGTATCGCTGATTGCCTATTGGATGTCTCAGAGACATCTTAAACTCAATGTGTCTAAAAACAAATTCATTAACTTATCTCAAATCCTCCCCACTTCCAAACTTCTAATTATTTCTCTCTAAGGTATCACTACTCTTCCAGTGTCTCAGTTTCCTAATCTGTAAAATGCAAATAATAATAGCACCTATTTCCCAGGGTTGTGAGGATCAAATGATTGTAAAGTGCTCAGCACAGTGCCTGGCACATAGTAGGTGCTATATAAATGTTAGCTATTATTATTATATTATATTATCCTATCTTTGATGTTGTGTATAAGCTGACCAGTATCAGATCAAAATCATCAGGTAGATAGTGCACAGTGCAACTGGTCCTATGTACATGTCCTTGTGGTTTTTTACTTAGTCTGGGTTTGCTCTCTTCCCTGGGCCTACAGCTTATGTCACTGAGTGAGAGAGCTAAGAGGAAGTCATCTTATAAATATCTACCATCCTGTTGTCTAGACATCAAGGAGGTGATGTGGTTTTAGGGAAACTGAAGGGCTCCCAACACAAACCTTTGTCAAAGATGAGTCTATCATTTACATGAGGAGTTTAAAGGAACTACACTCTAACAGGTTGCATCCAAGCAAGATTCAGTATAGAAAAGTCTATCTTAGAGTCCATCCAAGGAGTCTTTTTATCAGCCAGCGTCACCTATTTAAAGGAGGTCTTTAGACGCGGACATTGAGAAAAGGCTGAAGGTGAGGAGCTGCAGAGTAATAAATATCTTTCGTATCAAAAGATAGTCCTTTCTTCACTTATGACCAACAGGGCAAATGTCCAGATTAGCTGACTAGTTTGTAGCAGTAGAACAGAAATCATATGGCCCACTAGAATGGAATTGAATTAAATTCAGCCATCATTTATTCAGCACTAACTAGACACAAGACTGTGGTAGGGGTTGGGGGTATAAGGATTAAAAAACATTGACAACTCCCTACTCTCAGGGAGTGTACATTCTACAAAGGGATATGCTATGTATATGAGTAAGTATAAGACCAGCTAACTTGAAGAAGAGTATTAGAGTCTAGGGAGGGGGAGGAGATCAAGGAAGCTTCAGAGAAGAGTTGACACTTGAACCGAAGCTTGAAGAAAGCAAAGAAATACAAAAGTCATAGATACAGAGGGAGTGAATTCCAGACATGGGAAGGGGAGAGTGGGCAGGGGACCTGTGTTAATATATGGAGGCAAGAAATAAAAAACTGAGTACAGAAAAGAATCCATAGTCCAGTTTGGCTGGAAAGTAGAGTGTGGCTAGTGGGGTAATAGAAAATGTCTAAAAAGAGTAGGTTGAACTAGATTGTGGGAGGGTCTTGAACACAAGGCTAAGAAGCTTGTCTTTTATCATAGAGACAATGGGGAGTCACTAAAGATTGTTAAGCAGCGGGGTGACCCGTGTCTTGGAAGAGTATTTTGCCAGTTTCCACAGGGGAAGAATCTTGAAGTAGGGGATCTATTGAGTAAGCTATAAAAATAGTGCAGGCTAAAAGTTAGTGGGTAATTGAACTAGGGATGTAGGCAATATA